TACTAGGTGTACACGGTTTACTTTAAAATTATTTATTTATTTATTATTGTATTATATAATTATTTTATTTGGGGGGGTAATTAGCTTTATTTTTAGAGGAGGTACTGAGAATTGAACCCAGGACCTTCTATGCTAAACATGCTAAGCAGGGGCTCTACCACTTGAACTATACCTCCCCCAAAGGTTTACTTTTAAAAGTCATTCTGATATTGTTTGTAATATGCCTGTTTCTAAACTAGAACATAAGCCCTTTATAAGAATGCTGTGTCATCACAGACAATTATCTCTTATGCGATACAGACTTTTCTTGCTAAATTAATAGAATAAGAACATTGAGGAGTATTGTACCACACACTGTAGTGAAAAACAAAAAACTACATGAGCAAAAAAATTTGACTAGTAAGTTAATATAATCTGTGCATAAGATGGACTATCATGCAGCCATTAAAAATTGTGTTTTCAAAGAAAATTTGAAGATATGAGAAAAGGCACATGATGTAATAATGTTAGTTCAAAAAGGATGATGAAAAATACATACGCCATATGACACCAAATTAGATTAAAAAGTGATACAGAAGACTTACAAAATACGCCAAAATATCAACTACTGGTTTTCTTAAGGTGGTAATATTATAGGTGATTACTTTCTGTTTTATACTTATTTCCATTTTTCTATTATTGTACTTCTGTCATCAGGAAACAACCCTAGTAAATGTCACTATAATAAAAAGAGAAGAGGATAATGTGTTTTCACCATATGCGGTTTGGCTTCAAGATCCTTGAAGTCGGCCTCCTTCACCCCAGACATGGTTTGGTAATAGTCTAGGTTCTGACGCATCTCCATGTGCTCAGGATTGCCCACGAAGAACGTATGTGCTGCTGCCACAGCTTTCTCCAACTTGTTTATCTAAGGATGAAGCACAAGAACACAGCTGTCACATCCACACCCAGAAGGTTTACGTCCAAATGTGCAGTTCACGATAAACAGGAAATCCCAGCCTTCCTGAGCCTTCCACGTGGTGTGCCCCAGCCCAGAAAACACACCTAAGGCAGGAACTACGTATCAGAGATCAGGAGCACAGGGCCCTGGGCGGATTTTCAGCTATTTCCCAAATCAGGATTAGGGATTCCTCAAATTACAGGAGGTAATGTTTCAAAAGTGTAAACACTATTTTAAAACAAAGGTTGTATTGTAGGGGGAATGCTATGGAAGACTGCCCGGATAATACATTCTTGAGATTGAGATATAGTGACTGAGCTAAAGAAAATCTAAAGAGTCAAGAATTTAGCGATAGCAGAGAAAGAGCAGTTAACAATTAGACTATGCTTAAGAATTTGCCTAGAAAAAACATGTATATATTTTTGCATAAAATAAATGTTTTGACACATTGAAGGAAAAAGTGGGTGGCTGAAAAGTCTTAAGGTCCTATACAAAATCCAGACGTGGCATCTTCTGACTCAAAGCCCAGGGCTCATGTGGTTAAAACAAGTCAGTATCCAGAAATCTGAGGGGGAAAAAATGTACAACAGGTCACAATAATGCCTATAGCAATGGACTCCAATGTATCAAAGTTATACAGGTTCATATGTAGAACCCAAAACAAATCACTGATGATCTAATGATTAACTAGATGGGTTTGGGGGTCAGACTGGTAACAAAGGTAGATTTAATTATTTACTTGCTGGGGCTTTAGACAAATTACTTAAAGTTTACTCTCTAAACTCAGTTCCCTAATCTGTCGTCTGGAGATAGTACTCGCTAGCCACAGGATTGCCAGGAAGGTGAAACGAGATGATATATATATGCAGTTTCTAACACATGGCGCCATCCAACGAAGACATACAAATGGCCAATACGCACATGAAAAAATGCTTAATATCACTAATTATCAGAGAAATGCACATCGAAACTACAATGAGGTATCACCTCACACCAATCAGAATGGCCATCATTAAAAAGTCCACAAATGATAAATGCTAGAGACAAATGGAGAAAAGGGAACCTTCCTACATTGTTGGTGGGCATGTTGTTTGGTGCAGCCGTTATGGAAAACAGTATGGAGAGTCCTCAAAAGACTGAAAATAGACTTACCATATCATCTAGCAATCCTACTCCTGGGCATATATCCAGAAGGAAACTTAATTCCCCAATGCACCCTAATGTTCATAGCAGCACTATTTACAATAGTCAAGACATGGAAGCAACCTAAATGCCCATTGACAGATGACTGGATAAAGAAGCTGTGGTATATTTATACAATGGAATACTACTCAGCCATAAAAAATAATAAAATAATGCCATTTGCAGCAACATACATGGACCTGGAGATTGTCATTCTAAGTGAAGTAAGCCAGAAAGAGAAAGAAAAATACTATATGATATCACTTATATGTGGAATCTAAAAAAAAAGACAAACAAACTTATTTACAAAACAGAAACAGACTCGCAGGCACAGAAAACAAATGGTTACGGGGAGGGGGAGGAAAGGGATGGAAAGGGATAAATTGGGAGTTTGAGATTTGCAGATACTAATATATATAAAATAGATAAACAACCAGTTCATGCTGTATAGCACAGTGAACTATATTCAATGTCTTGTAGTAACCTATGGTGAAAAAGAATATGAAAACGAATATATGTATGTTCATGTATGACTGAAGCATTATGCTGTACACCAGCAATTGACACAACACTGTAAACTGACTATACTTCAATAAAAAATATATATACTAACACATGGTGCCAGACACGTATTAAGTGCTTAAAAAATGTTAGTTCAATAAATGTAAATCTCAGCATATTATTAATATGCTAAGAAAAAAATTTTTTTTCTGATCATCAGCACTAGTAATGCACACTAAGCAAGGAGTCAGCCCTGGCTGTGACCCTAAAATAGCTAGGTGACCCAAGGTCACCAATCCCCATCTCTGTACCTCAGTTTCCTTAACTGTAAAATTAGAAATTCTCTCAAGTCTGTTCCTTTAACAGATTGATTCTCTCTCTTGTATCTTTCAGGACTGCTCTTGCCTTTCTCCGATCTCCTCCATCTCCTCTCCCCTCACCCCACCCCCAGCCCTTCTTTACTCGCCAAGCACGTGGCATCTCATTTCCTTTCCTCATGTGGACAACCACACTGCTAGTGGTTCACCCTGCCACCACTTTCTCCTTCTCCCAATGCTTATTACATGTGGCTTCCAGAATTAGCATTCCATAGCCCTGTTCTGATGATGGCTCCCTGAAGTCTGCAGATTTCTCTTCCCAGTCTGGCCTCACTCTATGCGAATGGCCATCCTTGCTCTCTCTAGCAATATTTGGGATCAATTTCAAATGTCATGTCATTTTTCAAGTCTAATTTCTCTGAGACAAAGCTATACTCTCCCCGATTTGTGCTCCCACAGCTTGCTGTACACACCCTTTTTGTAGCCCTTACTACTAAAGGGATTCTTAACAGCAAAGCAAGGCAAAACAAAAGAATATAAAGTCAAGCACTTTAATTACCTGTACAAGAACTGGAATGTACTAAGTATTCAATAAATGTTTGTCAAAGAATTTTTTAAAGTGCTGTTAAGTGACATGACCAAAGACATAGCCCAATTATTTTGGCTTCAAGTCTAGCACTCTTCTGGGAAACTAGAAGGAATGGAACAGAACTGCGTAGGCCAAATGCTTGTGGGGAGGTGGAAGTCTGAGATTCCCCAAGATTTTCCAAGTCTCTCTTTAGATTGAAGGTCTGCTCAACTATGGATATAACAGATAGACGGCACAGTCCCTCTTTCTTTTTCCCCCCAGTAAAATCGGGCCAATAATGGCCTCGACTTTACAGGACATTGCCAGGATCTGGGCAAACGAATTCATAAACGCAAAGTACTTAACAGTGCCTGGAAGTATGTGTTGGTTATCATCACCATCTTCACACAAGTCAGAAAGCTCCAAATCTATACACACACTTGGACTTAAGGCACTCTGGAATTCCTAAAACACTCATTTTCGCTGGAAACCTGACAGACTAGCCAGAGGGTCCCCCACAGGGAGGGGCCATACAGCCCCTACTGGCGACGTGGCAACCTCACATCCTGAAGGAAAGCTACCGAACTCCGGGAGCAGGAAAAGCATCACTGAAAAGCGAACCGGAAGGAAGATATTGTAGAAAGGTCCTAGCTTCTTACTCCGTTACTTACAATGAATCAGAATCAGAGACCCAAGCTGCCGCATTAGTTCCCTCTAGGAGGCCTCTCGGGGACACAAGGCCAAGTTTTGCTTACTCTGTGCCTTAACCCTAGGCTGGACTTTCAGGATCACCATCTGCCTATGCGAACCGGGCGAAGCTAGTCTCCCGGCAGGGTCCGTGCTCTCCCTGGGTCCGGGGAGAGCTCTCCGGCCAGAGGCCACTTTCCCTCTCCACGGACACTTCCCTGGTCCCCCAAGTGCCCCCGGGTCAACCACGCCCAGAAGGACTCCGGCCTCCTGGGCCCAGGCAGGTCTGCACCTTGAAGTAGGCGACCTGCAGATAGTTGTAGGGGCTTCGCTTGTGGAACTCCAAC